TGTTTAGTTGTCCTTAGAAAAATATACATTTATATTATTAAATCAAAAGTAGAAATCTTTTAATTAGTATCGAAAGATATAACATATTGCACATATATACGCCATATCAACTAGGAAATAATTTAGCAAACATATATATTTTATTCAATAGAAAAATGATTAATTTGGTGACTGAAACAACTGCAATACGATGTTTTAAATGATAAATGAATGCTTTCTTTTTTTATTCAATAGTGGTCATTGTAGCAATTAGTTTGACGATGCGCTTATCTGTAACTACAAAGAACTGTCTGTGGTAGAAGAGACGAAGGAAGGATGCGACAATCCTGCTATAAAACCACGCTTACGTTCTTATATCTGAATTCTTGACAAAAGCATGTCTACTTAATGAATTATTTGAATCTATTGAATTTGACTCATTGATATGAGAGTACAAAAGACTTTCTTCAGATTTGTTTATTACGAAGTGTATCTCTTCGAACTCTGTGCTCGAATTAATATGAAGCAGCTAGCATGTTTATTCTTGCATCATGAGATCAAACCAACTTGGCACCCGTCATATCAATATGTATCATTAAATTCCGAAAGATCGTTTTTTTGCTTTTGTATTTTATCACATATTTTTAAATTGGTTATATCGGTTTCTTGTTGAAATTTATTGATTACACTGGATTCAGCTCCTTTTCAAAGTTTATTGATAACGAATAGAGGAAAAAGTTGACAATTTTTTATCGAAATCGGTAGGCTCTCTCATTACTTTCGATTTCATTTCATATGAAAGCAATATTTCAATAGACGTACTACAAATCAAGATGGAAATATTTTCAATTAAATGGTAATAAAAAAGTTTGTTTTTGCGCAAATCACACATTAAGAGCGCTCGCTCTTCAAAGTCAATAATAGAACAATAAAGATAAAAAAAATTTAAAACAAGCATCCCTTTGGTTCTTAATTTTATGATGTTCATTGCACAATTATCAGTTATCAAGAGCGAATGCTCTTCATGTGTGCTTGATGACGACAATACCTTTGTTATTATCATTTGATTGAAGATCTTCAAAATTGCCAACGTTTTTCTCTATTAGGTATTAGTAAACGTTCAGAAGAAGCTGAATTTAATGTGACCGATAAATTTCAACAAGATTCTAAAAACTCACACCCTCAAAAACCTGACGCGTGCGTAATAAAGTACTAAACGATCTATTGTAAGTATTTAGATTCTCATTTTTTTCATAGTCATCTATTAGATTAGCTTTTTGTTGAGCTAGCCGAAATTGAAGACGATGCAGTACAGATTCGAGATCCCTATCAGTCACTACATTAAAATAATTTTCATTTTCATGATTATTATCAGTTTCAAGTAGTCTTGACACACTTTTACATCATTTGTTCGTTAAATAACGTTATTAATTGTTGTAGATATTGACACAGTGGATGCCATTTAAATTTTTCTCAATAGTTTTCCTTACAATTAAACAGACAAGTAAGAACAAGAACTGAAATACTTTGAACAATAATATAATGCATAATTATTTTACATTGACCAGGGATATTTTCTTGTTTTCGATGAAGCAAGATTCGCCATAAGTTCTTCCCAACAAACTATATAATTCAGTTTTTCCAGCTGTAATTCTCTTTTTGATAACGAGGATCAAATTGTAGTGTGTGTTTCTTATTCTTTTTAAAATATTGTTCTTTGATCTCAGCGAAAACCAAAATAGTGAAAGCACCGTCAAAAACGTTTTTTTTTCTTTCACTTGAAATATGAGTCCGATTGAATCTAGCATGTGAGAGAAAATTTTGTTGTTTTTTGTTCAAAAACTAAATTTGAGAATACAGTTTTCGCTATTCACATTACGAAAAAATTTACATCAGACTATGCAATGATCATAAAAGAGCAAATATTCTGGGCAACAAATTCGTTTATTTCGATAAATTCTATAGTAATCTGAAAATAATGGCATACAAATAAGTAATTTCTCCTATATAAAGAATACTTGATGTTACTATATAACTAAAATTCCAGATCTAATGTTTGATTTAATTATTGAATAAAATGTTTAATTGATTTGCTTTTCTTTGATGAGAAATGTTTTTAATTGAATTTCAATTTTCATTGAATTTATAAACTAATGCAATATCTTTAAAATAAAATAAATATAAAGTTCAATTTTATTTTTTCTTCATTCTCTCAAAACGATGGCGAATCTAAGATTTTGAAAGGAAGGTGTGAGTGAAGAGAAGATACGCTCTCATACCCCACGGCTACACCGACTCTTCTGGCAAGATGAAATGTGATTAATTTAATGCAGAAGGAATCTGCTTCGTCTCTCGATAATCCAGTGAAGTAAAATACATAGGAAAAGTATGTTGTTCAACATATCAAAAAGCACACATTGTCGACAAGTTATAATAATTTTTGTATGGACTTTATTATTCGAATGAACGTATCCTCGCGAGAACATCGTTAATAAAGAGATCCGTGCTATTGATAAATCTGTCAAATCATATGGAGTAATTTTGTTATTATTATATTAATCTGATGAATTATAATATAGCATAGCATGGTCGGGGAGTGTGACTTTAGACCGCTCACTGATTGTGAAATATTCTTCTATTCAATTTGGCACATATTTATTAATAATTTATTATTTTATGATACGAAAAATCAAATATTGAATAGAAATGATGTTTAATCATTCTTGATAGATTCTCACTTGATCACTGAGAATCGAGAAAGAAACAATATTACGTAATATATTTTATTGACGTAGAAAAAATTGAATGACTCATACACACATGATGTAACGTATGCAAAAGAAATTCTAACTATATCATCAAAATATTATTTATATTTATCTAATAACATCAAATAAGTATCAACGAAAATATAATGATCAAAGCCTAGGATTTATTATGGTTTATTTTCTTACCTGTAGATCAGTCTTCTGTTTTCATATTGGATTTTTTGTTCTTCGATTAGTTACTTCTAAGATGTTATTATTTCTACATCTGTACATATTACCGTTAAATATGTGAGATGTCCTTGTTACCTATTTCCATCATTCAATATGTTTTTCTTTCTCATTCTTCTATGGACCTTTTATTATACTCAAATATTAATCGTTTTTTTCCAAAAATGTTGATAAAACACATTTTTTGTGTTCAATAGAGAAGTATGTTACAATGTTTTCTTTTAAAACATATACCTCAAACCTTTTTATTTTATCTTGTTTGATTGTTTCTTAGTTTGTCAATCCTTGTGAACATGAACGCTAATTTTTAGCTTTATCAAAAAATATTCATACCCAAAGTACAAAGCCAAATGATGTGCGACCATTGATTATTTTTCTTCGTCAGTAACTAAAGTAATGAGTTAGAACCAAATTGGAAAGAAAACAACTGCGACATTCCTCCCTCTATGACGCCTGCGAAATGACTCTTTTCTACGCAGGATGCGAAAAATATTACGCCAATAAATACAGTGTTCTTACGTCGATGAGTAAATTATTTCCATGTTAATAAGTACAGCGTTGCTATTCCAATAAGTACTGATTTACACATTTACTATAGCGTAACAAGAAAGAAAAAACATATGGAATTTCGTATATTTCTCATTGATAAACGATCTGAAGGAAAGGAAGAAAAAAACAAACACTTATCACGACGACGACGACGACGATATATAAATTGTCTTGTTATCTCATCGTTCAGCATACATACAAGCTACAGCGCGTTACATAATCCAACCAATATTATACGGGAAAACAAGCAAAAAACATGAATTTGGAATCATTATCCAACGAATTATTACTTGATTTATTCGAATATGTCTCTATCGCTCATCTTCTTCGAGCATTCCATGATCTCAATGCTCGTTTTGACAGTCTTCTCATCACACATTTCCGACTCGTTGGTCATCTAGACTTTCGATATGTATACAAAGAAGATTTTGACATTATCTGTCATCAGCATCTTCCATCAATAATCAATCGAATTCGTTCCATTAGACTCTCAAATGATAATGATACTCCTGAACAGATCAACTTATTTCTTTCACGTGGTTTTGTTTTTCATCAATTCACACAATTATCCTCACTTTCACTATGTCATTTGTATTCAAATGAAACAATTATTCGCATAATAGATCAGTTACATGATGTTCCTCATCTGACTTGTCTCAAATTTATCGAATGTCAATTTGAAAATAATTCGACATTGTGTGAGAAAATCATCAATAACATTTGGAGTCTATCAAAATTAATCCGTTGTTATTGGAATATTATTACTCCAAATTTCAAACAATCATTTGCTAATCTATCAGTTACCTCATCATCACTTGAATATTTATCTATTGAACAGTGCGTATTTGATACGCATGTATTGGATAATTTGTTTCAACATACACCTAACCTTCAATCTCTTCGATTTCTTCGTATGAACAGTATGTGTGACGATTCTACTAGTCAACACCTATTATCTCCTGTTCCATCGATAATGACATTGAACCTTGATGCTGAATATTCAATAGATAAATTTTCAAATCTCTTATCAAATATGCCAAATTTAAAACGTTTAACTGTCAAAATATCGACAATAGATTTGAATGGTCAACGATGGGAACAGATCATTACTGATCAATTAAGTAATCTTCGAATCTTTCAAATGGAAATGGCTGGTCAATTTTCTTTAGATGATAGTATCGTAGAAATGCGCGAACAATTGATTGATTCATTTCGAACTCCATTCTGGATTGAACAACGTCAATGGTTTATTCGATGTCATTGGGAATCACTAATTGAATCTCGTAGTGTTTGGCTCTATACTTTACCATATGCTTTTGATGATTTTGATATACAAAACAAACCATCGAAATCCACTTGTCCTCATGAAAATGATTATTGGTCTTACAATCATGTACGACATTTAATCTATCAGTTTCCTATGATTGAAGAATCATCTACGCATCAGATTTGTTGTCCTAATATTGATCGTCTGTCTCTCGATCTTCCTGTCACTAATTGTTTTTGGTCTCTCATTCCTACGCTTAATCGAGTGATCTCAATGAAGATCTCATTGAAACGAGATAATGATAAAGTTCGATCTCAGTTGCAAAGCATGTTCGATCAAACACCTCGCCTGTATTCGTTGAGACTCGATTTATGGCGAAGTTCAAAAATAAAAATCATCGAAAATCTTAATGTATCAGTTCATCAACTTAAGATACGAGGAACCACTCCATCGTTTGATATTCGATGGTTTGATGATGAAGAGTGTACTTCACTAGGTCATTCACCACTTGGAATGCAATGTCACATGCTTCATATTCGAGTTGCACATCGAGGATGTATTCTAAAACTTATCAATCTAATGATTAATCTTCGAGTACTTTATGTCAAATGTCAAGACGACAAGCCAAATGAAGTTAGTGAAAATCTATCGACGACAGATGATATTGTGGAATGGTTGAAATATAATTTATCAGCAAAGTGGAACGTTTCCAGACATACATTTTTCAAAGATTGCATCCAAATTTGGATATGCTGAGAAACAGAACAAAAAGCATGTCGATTATCAAGACATTGTCTATTTTTGCATGAATTGAACTGTCATCATTCGTTTTTCATAATGTATATTGCAAAATGTTTCTTAAGAATAAATCCTGCGTCTAAATTTTGAACAGATTTTCTTGGACAGTCAATATATACGTATTTGGAATTCTTTTTTGAGGCATAATTAACTGGCATGGGTTTTAGTATTTCTTGTCTTTTATAACATGTATTTCTGAAAGAATAAAAACAGATACATTGAAATGTTTATCACAGATATACTGGTAATGATACGATGATAAATGTAGCTATATTTAGTTAACATCTAAGCATAATCGTTGTTGAAGGAGAATATTTTTCTATATACATTAATTATGAATCTTAATGACAGCTAGAGACTAAGCGAAGCTCCACAGACACGCATGTTTAGTGAATATATTCAAGTATCTAGAAGTCTTTATTTCTGTATGTTGACCATGTCCAAGTGTCTCGTATTTCATACTGACTAAATGTTTTCTTCTGTTTATGAGATACACCTGTGAATTATGATATTTGGACAGGATAAGAATGTAAAATGAGAGACATCTTCGAAAAGGAAAAAAACGCATATTTTTTTTTTCGCTACTTCTACAAGGTTATTTTTTGTACAAGTACCATGATAGTCAATCATCTAGTATTGCTTTGTCTGATAACATTTGTTTCTCAATCTTTTGGTTTCAATGCATTGATGATTACTGGCGGTGCAGCTGATCATGTTATTTCCTTGTTTGAATTAGCAAAAGGAATGCAAAATCATAATGTTACATTTATTACTGAACGATTGGCCAAATCCTACATTGATTTTCAAACGTATCCTAATTTATCTTCATTTCGTCTTCTTTATACAAACGATTCAATTGAGATATTAGCTGATCAAAATAAAACAGTTAGAGGAATGGTTGAATATTATTTTAATCATTCCATGTTGGATAGTCTTACTCATATTATGCCAGAACTAATCCGAAGTATGAATTTGCTGCTAAATAAGACAGTGCATAAATTGATGATGGAACGATTTAATGTAGTTATTGCAAGTCGATTAGTTTTTGGTATAAATGCTTTATGCATTGAAGTAAATATTAGTTATGTGACACTTACTCCAACAGTAATGTCGAGTGTGATTAATACTAATCAACCTAACAGTCACTCATTTCTGATATTAAAACAAATGTCGAATTCAAATATGGTATCTATAATGTTGGTTTTAGTATCCGCTGCAAAAGAAATAGTTTCATTAATCAACACAATCTCAAACACATTTCCGCGAATACCAGGGCCATTTTACGACACTTTTACATTCAGAAATATTTTTTTACAAAACCAAATTGTCTAAATTTGATCAATATTTCACCAACACTCTATCCACAATTCTATGCGTACCATTATACTAAATATATTGGTGCATTCGTAGATGAATCATCGGTTCATGATATTGACAATGAATTTACAAGATGGATTAAATCAAAGTCGAATAATTCTATTATCTATGTAGCTCTTGGTAGTAGTTCACTATTGCGACTCGATCGAATGAAAAGTTTAATCTATGCTCTAGCTGAATTTCTTTTTCAAGCATCTATTACATCTGTTTTATTAGCATTTCGTAATTTTAATTATGATAATTATCATATTGTACTCAATGAGATGATGAATATAAACGTATTCTGTTAAACGAACAACGTGTTAAAGTCGAAAATCAATTTGTTGATCCAAAATGAATATTACAACAACATACAGTTAGTGTATTCATTAGTCATTGTGGTATGGGCTCAATTGGAGAAGGATTTTATTTTCAAAAATCAATATTATGTTTGCCTTTATGCGATGATCAGTTCCAAATGCTATTACGATTGATCAATCAGATATTGGACAATCATCATTTGTTCCACCATCTCTATGGAAATTAATTATCAAGACCGAATAGTTATCATTTTTATACTTTTACAGCGAATAGTGTTACAATGAAATTATCAACAAGCAGCTTGAGTCATGCCAATTGAAATAAAACATGTAGGTGATATGAAACGAGCTGTGGAATAAATTGAATTTTTAGTTAGTTTAAATGGTGATTTAGATTGATATACATCATTTCAGAGTACATTACTATTCTATCAATGATATCTATTTGATATAATCTCTATTTATATTATATTACCTATAACAATTATGCTCTATCTCTTTATGAAATGTTGTAAACGAACTCGAAAAGAAAAGATAGATTAATTAATAAAATTTTCAAAAAATCAAATACGTGCCTATTCCGGCAAAAATTAAAATATTGTGACCAACACTCGGTCCAAGTATAAATTTCGAAATGCATCAATTGTTATGATCATTGCAGAATGATTCATTAGTATTAAATGATACAATGATAACATATTTCTTAGCAAAAAAAAAAGCACCAAGATGAGGGAACCAATTTCTCTATTGCGAACAGAGTCATATGAGTTTTTTAGAGCACATTAACGTGCGTCGAATGATATACTCTGTTATCTTTATCAAAGTCGTTTATATCAAAAGTTTCAAGGTGGGATATGTGACAAAGTATATGCCAATTCTATTTATTAATATTTCCGTGTTGTAGCATATTCTTGACAGATCACTGAAATTTATTTTCAAGTTTGTTTGATTTTAATTAGAGTGTGAGTGTGGGTAAGATTATTTATTGAAAGAAGATTCACACTCACATTCGACTTAGTTTCACAAGTTGAACATAAATTTGATCGTGAAATGATAAATTGTATATGAGTTGGTGACATTTCACATATTTCATATGAAATAAGTTAAGTAGTGAGAAAGATTCGACTTCGATCTCACAAGCCATTAGTACTTGTTCAAGTACAGTGAACAAAGAAAAAATATCGATGAAAACCGAAGGTAAAAATCATCATCATCAATATAAAAGTATTTTGTACATCTTGTCGCTAATTGACGGCAGCATGTTCGCTTTTTTTATCATTAGTCAGCGAGGTGGCCATTATCTTTCTGTCTTCTGTGACTCATACACGAAATCAACATTCTGACACTTTGCAGTCAACCAAAGATAAAAATTATTTCAATAAAAAAATACACACAGTCTATATCAAAAAGTTGAATTTCTCAGCTTCTACGAACTAAAAATTTTTGTACCAAAATTTTTTCATGTCTAATTAGATTTGGTTTATCTTTAAGAATTCACTCTGCTTGGTTATGTAGTATAACAAGAGAGACAGTACCTTTTCTTCTCTTTTTTTCGCATTTATCTCAATGTGAAAACTATTTACTTTCGGATGTATTTATCCCCGATGGTCAACCAGTAGGAATAGAAAACAACACATATCTCTTATTAAAATATATTCACAAAGTTTTCTTCTTCCATAGCGGCAGAAGGATAAATATTTCTTGTCTAGTACAAGTCTTTTTTTTTAATTTTTACCTCATATTCAGTTATAAACATGGAGAAATATTTAAATAGTATTAAATTCTGTATTCTTTACCAGATATAAATTAGTTAGATGGTATTATATTTTCAATTTTACATGAGTTTTATTTTGTTTTTGTTCTAGCTGCATAGAAATGCCTTCCACGATATCAATTTACGTATTCAATCGTACACTTAGATAAGAATGTTCAGGTTTAACTCCTCATCATAAATGTGACAACATAAAATAACAGTTATTTTATATAATTTCTTGTTGAATTTCTCCAAAGTATGTTCTTAATTGTGTAGTACTTTACATGTTCTATATGTGGACTTATCCGACAGACAAATCAATAGTACGTCTTGTAATATCGACAAAGTTAATGTTAAATAGCTTGTCAAATCAATTCCGGTTACGTTTTCTTTACCACGATAGACCCAATCAGGAATTTTTTTGGATAAGTTTCTTTCCTAATGATTCTAGTCTTATGATTTGAGAACCATTGATGTCTATCACTTTTCTTTCTGGAGAATGGATTTTTTTCTGAAATAAGAAAGGAAAAAATCTTTTTCCATTAGCTTCTTTCTCATTTTTTTCGTTAAAAGATATATTCGGAACTCAATGGATCGGAGTGGAGCAAAAAAATTGATACCACATCTTCGAGTAGTTAACAAGTCGAACAACGATTTTTATGATACACGAAGTTGTTCAGTACGATTTGTTTAGAAGGTCTAGATTGATTCTATTTCAGACTACGGAGTGCATGTTCTCTCATTATATTTGATGCAAGCTAGAGTAATCAATTATACATCTTTCAACTTCAGATTGAATATGTTCTCAATCAAATTACTATCTCGATCAACTTCGACCTGTATTTCGAGAATCGATCTACGTGCTCTACTCATTCTAAGATATTACTCAAAAACTGTCCTCCCAACTTCAAAATCACCTGACATACTGAAAGTCCCACCTACAGAATTCGAACCTTCTCAAGAAAATCCATTAAAAAAGTTTTTAATAGACCACGCACTACACAATCAATCAACAAAAGCAACAACATCTTTCACGACCATTCTCGAGCACCTCAAGTCAAATGCAAATTTACGATTACCGTATATTCTTCCTTATGAAAACGCCGGACGAATAGATGTCACTTCGGAATCAGATCTCACACGAGGAATTGTTACCATCGCTCACGTTTTACCATTAAGAAATAAAGTGGTTCTTGCAAGTGGTTTTGCAGTGCTCACCGGAGAACTTATCGTGACATGTGCACATACATTTTATCAAGCTGCTCAATACCTTTCTTTTTCAGAATTTGATCAGAAGACACAGTCGATAGCAATCACTCACGAAGGACATTTGATACCAATTGCTTCAGTTGAATCACATCTAATTCTGTCGGATTTAGTGTTACTCAGGCTGCAAGAGGGACAAAAGATCACAGCTTTACCAGTCGATCCATACCCGGCACCTGTCTCCACGTCACTGCTATCATACGATTTAGTAACAGTGTCTGTCTCCTCGACTTCTCTTCCTACTATTTCATATTCATGGAAACCAGCCAAAGTATTATTTTACAAAGATCGATGTGGTAAAAAAGTAGAGACAGGAACCTATGATGAACTGCACTCTATGATGTATTCACATCCACCTTCAAATGGTTCGAGCGGTGGACCTATTGTGAATAAAGAGACAAGGAGTGTTGTTGGAATTGTGAGAGGAAGGGAAATGAGCTATGCTAATCAAAAACTTATTGGTTTTGCTACACCTAGTGAATGCTTGCTTGAGGCTTTCAAGTTGCCTGGAATGCCTGACGGATTGGAATAGATGAAGTTGACAAAATTCCAGAGGAAACACCATCGTCCGTCTTATAGTTTAATCTATTTTTGGTAGAGATAAGCGAGCCGAGTCGCTTTTAGAGTCAAAACAGACAAAAAATGTGGTTAATGTTTCTATGCAACTCAACCTAACTAGAGGGCTGACACTTAAAACCGAGTCAATGACTCGAGTGTAATGTATTGCCATTTATTTTTTTTTTTATTTTGAAAATTTGTATTTGCATGTTGGTTGATCTGTCGTAACTGAATAAATCTTTTTCTTTTCTTGCAAGATTGGCCAAAGTCAAAATACTTTTCTCTCATAACTTTCATTTCATTCTCTTGAGAGTGTGGGTGTAGTGAATCTTCTCTTCACTCACACTCTAAAGATTTTACGTTGATTAAGATTAATTTTAATAAGAGCTTCTGAAAATGAACATGAATTCTAATGACTAAGCAGTTTTAAATCAATTAGTCTCTTGATATTTTAATGAAAATTCTTATTACAAAAATCTTAATCAAAACTGGTTTTTGCATACCTAATGATAAACAGATGTTTCAGTGTGAATCACAGATTGATGCAGGGTCTGTTCCTGTTTGTTATCAATCCCAATGTATTACTATCATATTGAGTTTTTTCTGGCAAAGTTTTCATGAAAACGTCGAATGACAGTATTTGGATACCCTAAGATTTTCAGCTCAAAAGTATGTGTTCTGCTTAAGGTATTAAGTAACCAAAAACGAACTGTCTTCTAGTACAAGGGAATATCAAATAACCGATCGTCTTAAATATTCGATATCTCGAGAAGAATATACTCTTTTCAATTGAAAAATCCAGAATATTTAAAAGAGGACAAGATTTAATTTAACGGTCAAATTTTAGATTTATATGCAACCAATGAAATTTTTCAGTAATAGATTATAGGAGTAGAAAACTCGGTAACACGATAATAAATCTGTAAGAGCATACGAGAAGAAATCGTTTCTGGCTTCTACAAGTTCCATATGATTTACTTTCGAACAACATATCAGTTCAGTCAGTGATTTACATTTGGATAGGGTGTGTGGGTGGATGTGGGTGTGAATGTGAGCCTTCTCTTCATACTCAGTCACACCCACACATTTTTTTGATCAATAGCAAGTAATACTGTGATATTCTGATTGATAAGAAAAAATACTATGGTCTTGTAATTTGGTTACATCAAGCGAGTGTGTTCGATGCTGGAACCAAGTAGAGCGCAAAGTCTCATTCAGTGCATTCGACTTTTTACGAGCTGTGCTCATAGAGATGACAATCGCATTTTGGCGACATTTTCTAGTATCATCTCATTATACAGCTTACTATGTTTTAATTTTTGCTCATTCATAACACTCTTGGTCTTATTATGGCGCTTTATTGAAACAGAAAAAAATGAAATTGTATAGTTCGTCACAAAATAATTACAAAAGAATTTCAATTGCGACATGTACAAGTCTTCCAGAAGAGTGCGGTTGGTTTACAGTAACCGCTGTTATAACGACAGCCACGGCATCGTCGGATACATGCTTGAAGCCCTTCTGTCATGCATGTGCCCATCGGCATACCGCAATTCTGGGCAGCCACTTCGACGACTAGAGAAAAAAAAGCAGATATAAAATTGATAACTTTTGCACACATCTTCGTGAAATATACATACTACACATTTGTGCTGCCAAGGTGATAA